ATCCATCAGCCTGGCACCCCCCAGAGTTACCAGTGCAAACACTGATGCACTGGGGCTTTCCAACCCACTCCAAGATTAATGATGTCCTGCTGTCCCACCCCCATTCACTTGGGCTCTGTCATGATGCTGTGAGCCTAAACACCTAGCATCACGTATCAGCAGCTGGGGGCTCCACGTGTGGGGGCAAAAAATATAAGTTTCAGGCAAATCATAGGCTGCTCACCCATGTGTGAAATCCTTTGGGTCTGCGCTTTCTTCAAGCTTGCATGATTTTCTAAAAAACACTATTTTTATGCATATTAAGTAGATGGTCGGCCAACCTGTCCCTCTCAAATCAGCTTGGGAGCACTGAAGCTCTGCTCCAAACCTGTCACAGGGACTCGGGGGAGCAGGCGGCCACATGGGAAGGCAAAGGAATCAGCAGGAATTTAATGGAGTGAAGAAAGAGACAGTAAAGAGGACCTACAACTACTAACCCTGAGCTTCCTCAGCAGCAGCATGGAAGCCAGCACAGCTCCACAGCTCGCCAGAAGAGAGCCTTCTGAGCCAAGCAGAAACCTGAGGAGCACCCCACACTTAAAATGAAGAACCATTAAGAGAGCACCATCACTACAGAGCATCCTTCCTAGTGTTTTCAGTATAAAAGTTAGTACAATTACTCGTATTTTAGGGGACTCTACGCTGCTGGGGAAAAAAAAAAACCCAAACACAAAACACATTCTTCAGAGCTGTGAGCTTACAGGCCATGAAGAGAAGCAAATATTAACAACTTCCCAGGGCACCTCCCTCTGCTTGCAAGCCAAAGGCCAGCAGCAGCCAAGGTCAGCTACTCAGTGGCAGTGCAAGGTAATGCCTCATTCAGATAAAAATTTCCACTGTTGATGGCTCAGAAGCTACAGAGAGAGACTTAGAACTTTAAACAACTCGTAAGAGAAATATTAACTGTTCCGAGCCTGTTCTGCACTAATGCTAATTGTGTCAGTGTTGCTTTGAGCTCTCCCTGCAGTCTCGAAGTCTAACTTCCCAAAAAAGTGTGGTTAACCCGAGAGCTCGGACCCTCAGGAAATCCAACGGAGGACCTAGTGGTAACTCAGATCCAAAAAACATTCCCACAGGTTGAGCTGGGTGACTGGTATGAAAGGCACTGCTCCTCCAGAGAAGGATGGGCACGGAGGGCAAAATATGTTTCAGAGATCTCAGCAATCACGTCTGCAACCCCCACCTCCATCCTGAGCCAACCTAATAAAATCCTAAAGCCTGTATGTGTGGAATGCAGCAGCGTCCTGCACAACTCCAAGTAATTTGGGAGCAATCCTTTGGTTTTCACTCAGGCAATTTTCCATCAGTCGTTGGGAAACGAAATGACCACACACTACAGTGCCCAAGATGGACAAAGAAACTTCTACCCAAACATCGAAGTTCAGGAGAGCAGCGAACAATTCATATGGACTCAGAAAAACAATCAACAGGATTTAAAACAAGACATTCACTCTTCTCCCCTGACTGCAGGGAGAGGCTGCATCTGGCAGCACTGGCAAATATTTTGAATTGTTCAGTGCTTTCTGGAACAGAGGCAGAATAGGTTAAAGTCTGAATACCGCCTGAAGAGCTTCTTCATCTTAAAATAGGACAGTGAAAGGATTAGAGATCTCTGTCACTCGGGACAGTGCCTGAACTACGCAATTTTAATCTTAATATAGCTACAGTAAATTGCAGAAGCAGAGCCCCGAAGAGCCATCTGAGCTTGCAATTCTGCCATGACAATGCAACTCCAATCAGACTCTTGGCAAGTGATCCCTGGTTTCAGAAGACAATAGGTAGCAGCAGCTACTGGATACTGAAACTATTCCAGGCACTAAAACATAGTAAAAAGAAGTTGGGCAGTTAATACCATTCATCGGAAAAGCGGTAAGAGGACGCTGCCAGTGGCTCTGAATGCGCTGCTTAGATTGATTTAGTTATCCCAATGCAGGCTAGCTCCATTTCTACAAAGAGCCTGTTTCAAGACAGAAAAAAAATAAATCATTTAGTAGCTGATATAGGCAATGAGCTCAGTCAATTTTCTGTTACTACAGTAAATACATCCATTGCTCCGAAAACATAAAAGCAGGGAACAGCTTGTTTTATTTTACTGCACAGATACACTCCTGAGTGGAAGGAATTAGTGGGGGGTTCTCTCTGCAGAGGGAGAGGGGGCAGAATGACCAGACCCGTGTCCGGGAGGCAGCCTCAGTTCAGGGTTGACTCCAGTGAGCTGACGGCGTCGGTGTCACCCCGGGAGTGGCAGGGAAGAGCCCCCCCAGGAGCAGAGGGTCTTTGACTCAGCCTTCCATGGCCGTGTGGGACCCTGCAGCAACCAGCCTCCTCCAACAGGTGACTGCACCCCCGGAGATAAAATTGCCAGGGGAGGAAATCATTCACCCCCTGGAAAAAAACCTCACGTCACAGACAGAGTATGTTCCCCTCTCCACTCACAGCAGTGACTGGTTTATGGTTACAAACAGTGGCATCCCACCATCCAGAGACATGGTTACTTAAAACAAACCTATGTAAACACATACCCTTATATTAACTTATATATAAAATTATATATATATAAGTTTTATTTGTGTATACATAGATATAAATACACAGGCACACGCTCAAACACGCACCCCTTACACAAAGCACAGAACACACACACACACACGGAAATACTGTAAATGATGCTGAACTGAAATCTAAGAATATAATTAAGAAATTATTAGCAGGTTTAAAATTGAGTTAAAAAACTATTCAAAGTGTCTTTAGTATTTATGTTCAAGTAAGGCCAAAACGACCACAGATTAGTACTGATAAAAAGAGCTGGCATTATATTTCCCATATTATGCCAAACTCATGAGTTATTTCTCATTGTCAAACTCATTGTCATTTTGCCATCAGGGCACCTCATCAACTAGAAAGATAATGTTGTGGGGTTTTTTTAGGAAACGGTAATTTTAAAGACTTGAGTTAACAAACAGTATTGTTTAGGCACCCTCAAATCATAAACTAGTCCTAAAAACCACTCACACTTTGTTGTATCAGAAGAGAACTGGTGGGACTCGGACATCCACACCCACAGTAATCAGTGGCACAAACAGGTCTTCACAGTAAAAAAGGCAGTACTGGAGACAGGGGATGAAAAGGTGACACAGTGGTGGCCTTTAGAACAGCAACATTTACCCAGAGTGACACTCCAGTCAACTTCTGAGATACCACAGCTGCTCTGTTTGAGGAGATACAGGCCCATGGTGGTATTTCAGAGGTGACTGCAGGTGCAAACTGGGCTTCAGTGGCAGCTAAAGCTATCGTTTACATGTGCTCCAGGGTGATAACAAACACCTCTAACAACACTCCAAGGATTGTTTGGGATATTTAGTACGGCTAAAACCCCTGGTACCAGTGTCTTATATCAGAAGTAATTTTATTACAATGTAAATGTAGTGTACAAGCACCAAATCATTTTAGCTTAACTGTTTCATAGACGCTCATTATATAAATGACTAGCGATTTAAGAGAGAGATCTTTAAAAGGAAAAAAAATCTTTTTTTTTTTTTTAATCTTTTTTGTGGGTTTTTTTTTTTTTCCTTTTGTTAAGATTATTCATTATTTCTATTCTGATAGAAGACTCTGAAGGTTACTGGTACCCCGGTGTGTACAGCCTTGAGTCGGCACACACACACACGCACGCCCACAGACACCCACACAACTGTACACCCCACTGCTACATCCACAGCCTCTTAAACAGAGCGCCCCAGCTCTGGCACCGGGACCTGTACATCAGATAAATTCTCTTTGTGCATTTCGGCATCGTCATCACTGCTCCAGTTCCACGTTTGTCGCAAATCAAGGTGGTCTCGAAGGTAGGAAGAGCCTGTCCCTCACCCTCCCTAATAAAGCCACGATTAAGTCTTGTAATTTCTTTGTTTTTCCGCTGTTCAGCCGTGCAAATCCAGGCAGATGTGCAGACCGCAAAGGTGACTTCCAGTCTCTCTCCCAACCTCTCACCAGTCTGGAATCATCACACGGAGACGACGACGTCGAGATAGAGTCTGTCGTAGGACTCGCGGAAGCAGAGGATGAGGAGGAGGCTGAGCAGACACGATCCCGGGAGGCACCAGTTGAACCAGGAAAACTCTGGAAAGCACAAAACAGACCCGAGCTCAGAGTTAGCAAAACGTGCTCCGTGTTTAAAGGGGACAAAAACTTTGATTGATTGCAGGTTTGAAGGAAATTGCTGTGTTCTGAACAAAATCCTGACAGCTCTTGATCGATAGATGATTAACATGGGCTATGTGACTTCTCCATGGATGCCTTATGTATATATAATGGTTTTATATATATATACAAAACATCAATGACTCCAGCTAATGTTAATCCTCCTTATTCAACCTGTCACTGGAGAAAATGTCAGAAAAAAAAAATATCTGTCATTGCTAATGGAGAATAAACCACTTGTGAAGACTCTACTCATTAGTTCTTTGATTTCTATGGAGTGAAAACTAAAACAAATTAAAAGCATAAGAAGAAGTAGGATTTGATTTCTAATTGGTTTGAGAAGGGAAAACCAATTCCTCAGGAGAAACCTCTGAGTAGAACAATCAATTCCATTTAAAACTAGTTGGACAAATGGCTCCTCAGAAGCCTCTTTTTAGCTGTTATACACAACGTACTGCTCTTAAAAGCCTGTGTTCCACACTCAAGAAGTCCTATCGTCTGATATCTGACTACTAATTAGCAGTTATATTCAGTTGTGGGTTGTTGGTTTTTTTTTTTTAAAAAAAACAAGGGCACCACAATTTCTTTCTTTTTGTAAATCTGACAACTTACTGAAGAAACATTAATTTTACTGGAGTTCTAGTTTTATTTCTTTTTTTTTGTTTTTTAAGTTTCCTTTATTATTACTATATATTTATTTATTTTTAAACTCTTCCTCAAAGTCTGAATTATTCAAAATTGACCCCAGCACCGTCACTTTCCTAAATCTGTAACTTATATTGCTAAAAGAAAAAGCACAATTTATATTACACAATGCAAAGGACAAAAAAGTCAGAAAAGCCTGAAAAACCAACCTTCCAAAACCAGTAACATTCAACAACACCCTCCGTTGTCCACCAAAAAACCCTTACAGACTTGTTTAGGCAGTAACCTTATTAAAGCCTTCGGAAAATTCTCCTAGGCTTGGAGAAGACCACATTATGTGATGCCAGAAGCCAATAGGTAAATACTTTGCTATTATTTTCTTTATAAAACCTCCAGAGGCTGTGGCTTTGGGTCTCGGGGTGCAGCACCAGCTCAGCTGGGCTCAGCTTTAGAAAGGTTTGCATCTCCATCGTGCTGGCTGCACCAAAACACTCAACGTGCTGGGAAGTCTCCAGGGCTCAGCTCTTTCACAGCCTTCTCAGTATCAGAGCATGAGGAGAAATAGAGAGAGATCTGAATTAAAACTACTACAGATTATTTGGCCTAAAAAGCAAGGCTGAGGGAACAAGATGAATTTGACCGAGTCCGGGTTTTTCCATAAGCTTCTTAAATGCCATTAGAGGATGTATTTGAATCAAATGAAAGACAAATGTTTAAGATCGTTATCTACCTTCTCAATGATTTTTTTATCAAAGGAGCCAATAGCACCCACTGACATCGATCCCTCCCCCCTGTGACCACATGCGCTCTTGTACTTTTGGTCCTAAACAGAAGTTACTTTTTAAATCTTTTTTTTTTTTTCTTTCTTTGAAGAAATAGGGAAAATATTCTGAGCATATGGATACATTAAATTCAGGTTTATCCTTACCTAGATTTACAGATATCTGCTAGGGAAGAAATACTAGAGACAAAAAAAGGGCCCCAAAATACACTATTTATGACAGCATGAGCTCATTTTATCAAAATTCTTCAGTCAGAAGTGAGACACTGTATCCCCATCCTCAATTAAGTAATTCCAAACACTGCATTGATATTCTCAAAAATGCTGAAAAAAAATCTCAGAATATTCTGCATAACCTTTTCAGCTCAGGTGTAAATGTTCAAAATAATAGTACCTGTGAGCAGAGTTCACACAAATTAATATTAATCATTTACATTTAAAATGTAAATATCATGCCACCTGTGGCTAGCAGGGATGGAATTCAGATTTTACAATGATGCAGTTCAGTGTCAGTAATAAATAAATGAAAAAAAAACCTAAATAAAAAAAAAATTCTCTCAGTTGGTGTTCACAGACCACAATTTGGGATGGGGTTGTCAACCTGCTTGTGATTCCCTGGCAGAAAGACACACAAACCACACTGAAAATTTGCACCAAGCTGTAACTTCCATAATTTCAAGCACAATTCATTCTGAAATTTGTCAGTCTCCTATTGGTTATAAAACACACAATCTTAAGAAGTACATGCACTCATGATAATATGTAAATGCCCACAATTTCTAATGCTTCCAAAGCAAAACATTGCTTTACAGATTTTGCATCGTGAAGCAAATATTTACTGCAACAACAAAATACAAACCAAAAATCTGCTTCTTTGAACACCATTAATAAAGACCTCCTGGGCAATACAATTATACCCCGAAGCGTGAGACTGGATTAGCTTTACTGTGGTTTTGAACACCCATAGATACAGATGTTATTAATGGTCACATTACTTAGGCCTTTATAAAAATATGACGTCGGTGTGGATCTTGATGGTTTCTGGCTGCAGCAAATTCTAAGTGGATTATGACTATGTACAAGTACATCTTGCACTAAAGCATTTCTTTTTATTAGCAGGCATACAGAAAAGAACAACTAAAAGTTCTTCTCCCCTGCTGCTACGTAGGCAGATTCAGACATTTATTATTAACAGCAATTGTATGTATAAATCCTCCCTTTACTGACAAAGGTATGTCTTCATGGAGAATTATCTTTTCAAAGTAGCTTATATTTCTTACCTGTATGGTAAAACGTGAGGAAAAACAAAAGCACTCCCATAAACACATTACTCAAAAAGGTGACAACTCCACAGGTAATTCCTTCTGGAACAGGGTAGACTGTCTCCACAAAGAGCTCAAAGAATATTGGTACGCTGCTGTTGAGGAATATACCCAACAAAATGCAGGATGTGTACAGTGTAGCTGTAACAGAGACAAAAACAGTTATTAATTTCACGCTGGCATCTCTCCCTCCCCCTATTCAGAGCTGCCAAGTATGCTAATACTTCAGTAACTGAAAAATGCATAAACTTATATTTATCCTCTGTGTATGGTAAAGCGTATCACACCTCACTAGTTTTAGGTAAAATGCATGCATTGATTTGAAAAAAAAAAAAATTAGAAATACTGACTTATTTATTTTTTAAACAGAACCTATAAAGACACACTCAGTGATTTGAAATTCACTTCTAAGTAAAACAAACAGAACAATATTTTGAATGCAAAGCATCACCTACAGTTTAATTTACCTCTGAAATTAACAGAAACTATTGTCCAATACACAATTAGGACAGGGAGCAATTAGTGAACCAAATCGGAAATGGACATGGATTAACCTTTTGACTTAGTTCTAAAGGTCAAAACTAATTTTGCTTCCATTTTACAAATAAAAACTAATGATCTACCAGATATCAAGACATCAGTATTCATCACCACCTGAGCTGCAACACGTTGAATCCCTTTTGGCCACAAAAGGAAATGAAGGGCACCCAGTGCCTGGCAGGGACATTGGTGATAAAGCAGATTATTCACTGCTGTACAACAAATTATTTTTCTTGGATGGATCAACAGAAGAATACAGGCATTTCTTCAGTAGCCTCAGATATTTTGTTCTATAATTTCTGACGCCGCCAAATTCTTTATAGTGCTTAATATCTTAATAGAGATGCTTAATGTGTCTACATTATCGGTTAATAAACCTATTATATCTAGTGCTGAAAAAAAGGAAAACTTCAGAAAAATTTAGTACCTATTTAGAAATGCAAGCAAGTCTTTGCTGAGTGCTGTCTTGGGAAGGGGAAGATTTCCTGACCTGCAGCCTCAACAACTTGAGGTTACTGACCAAGCAAAAAGCATAAGGAAACCAGTAGAAGGCTTGGAAAAAAAGATAAAAGTTTGGAATATTTTCTGAAGTTTCTACCAAAATGAGAAGAAAATGTAAAGAAAAATTTGTCAGATGCAAATCACAGGGAAATTATTTATAGCATCTTTTCACTGCAGTATGGTACAAAATCCTTAAACAACTTTTTTTCATATAGATATATATGTTTATATAAACTGCATTTTCAGTTTAATTTACGTTTTTCTCCCTTGAAAAGGGGAGAACTGAAACAGCTCTGCTTCCTCTTCTCTTAAGTATTGCTCAATTTTTCAATTGAGAAACTACTAGGAATCAGAAAACTTCCAGCTTAAAAAAAAATAAATTAAAAATCTTAAATCACTGTTTCTTAAAATATGAAGAATCACAGAAAAGAGATAAAGGCATTAAGGAGCAGAAAGGGATATCAGATCCTCCATTTGATGTGGTTTGCTTCCAAGGCTCAAAGACATATTTCTTTCTCTACAGAGGCTTTGCCTGGACAGGAAAAAGAGGACAGAAAACTCAGCCAGAAAGATGACACAGATGGCATGACTTCAGGAGGGACAGCTGGCCCCCACTTTTTTCTTTTTTAATATACCAGAATGCTCTCGGTTGTTTAGAAACAAAAAAAAAAAAAAAAAAAAAAAAAAAACCCCCCAAAAAAACACAAAAAAAAAAAAAACCCCCCCCCCAAAAAAAAAAAAAAAACCCAGAAAAAAAAAAAAACAAACCAA